ATTTAGATGCTACCTTTTAGTTAAAATTGTACATTTTTTTATTCTCTAATATCCAGAACGCATTTTGTCATGGTAAAATGAATCTGGATAAGCAACCAATATTCACGCTTTATCAATTAAAAATATATCAGATAATATAACATTAATAAGTTTAACAGTTTCTATATTAAGAATAAATCGTTTTTATAGGTCAAAAGATCTAATTTGTTAAATACAACCGAAATTGACTTTTCATATTTTCCTTGTTCTAAATATTATTTAATTCTTTAATTTCGTGATACCAGCATTGATTTAATTCAAAAGCTTCTTTAATTTCTGTTCAAGTATGACGGAAGTTCGAACAAATATACCTTCCTTTTCAACTGTTACTTCTAGTTTTATATCTTATATAATTTCGTTGCCATTGCTGACTACAACCATCGCATGTATATCAATTTTATTATATGTGGTGGATGCAGTACAAATATTCAATTCGAAAATTGTTATTTATGAAGCGCTATCACTTTTACCCGAAGCATTCTTTGACAGCGGGCAAGGTAATTTTTTTTTATGTTTAACGCGTAAAATTCGGCATCTACTTAACATTACTAATGGTCTTTTTTGAATTGTATGTATATAGTGTGGCGTTTGATTACATATCCTTATCCACATTATTCACTTGGAAATATACTTTTTAATTTACTCGCATTTTTACCTTTAAGTACAGCAATAGAACATACTATTGGTACATTAGAATATTTTTATGTATTAATGACCATATTTACGATACTTTCAGGTTCTTTATATTTATTAGGTTCTCTGATTTTCGGTTATAAAGAAATTGGAGTTGGAGGGTTAAGTGCTTGGATATTTGGTGTTGTGGTTTGGGAAAGTAGAGAATTAGCTGGACGTGAAAGAGAGTAAGTTTTATTTTTATCCTTTTATATTAAGGGTTTTTGATTTAATTCTCGAGTTGTTATTATTATTGATCTTCTTATATTGACTGTAAAAATTTTTTATTTTCCTTTCGTTATAAAGCATATTTGGATTGTTTAGAGTTCCGGCACATTTTTATCCTATTGTATTATTATTATTGATGGAAATTTTATTTAATCATAAATGGTTTGCAAGTCACTTATGTGGCTTATTTGTAGGATATTTTTGTAAGTCGATTTAAATAGCATGTTGTATATCTTTCTTAAATCGCATTAGTATTTAACTTTGCGTTTTTTATTTAATAGATTCCTTTGGATATTTATCGCATATATTACCATCTTCGGGATTTTTTTCGAATTTAGAAAGTAAAACGGCACTTTCACATTTGTCAAATTTACGTGGATTTGTTAAAGCGGAAGATTTTTGAAAAGTGCGATAAATCGAACGTTACACGATATAAAAAAGATCGACATTTGATTTTATCACCACGTGATATAACGAATGTCTATTATGCTTTTGGTTCCACAATCACATTCTGTAGTTTCGTCATGATGCTATGATGTAAATATTATATAGGTTTTAAAGCGAGTGGCTTGACATTTTTTCACATTTGAAAATGACTGTTTAGTTCACAAATACAGCAAAATGTCGCGTAATTCCTTTATTGGTTTTGAGAATTTAAGGGAAGATGGTGGTTTTCAAATAGAAGAATTTATATGGGATAATAAACCAAGAATTCACGTCGGAACGATAGAAAACTTTCGAGATGAGCCAAAAATTGCAGCAAAACGTGTGTCTTTTATGGGAGAGAAGTGTTTAGACTTTATTAAAAGTAACCCTGTGTTTCAGGAGAAATATAGGATCGAATTGTCCCCTGAAGAAGGACTTTGGAAATTATATCTGCATTTAGATCCTGTGGCCTGGTTCGATGCTCTTATGTCGCGCCCAAATGAAACGAGAGGATCAGTGATAAAGAAAGCACGAGAATGTGTCAATAATGTAAGAGAAACTTATTACCCATCGCGCCCTGAGAACTTTATATATGATCCTATTCTTTCTAAATCCTACTGTAATCATCATGGAGAATGTGTTAGATGTGAGTACTTTATTGATATTATGCAAATATTAAATGCTGATGCAGAGACTAATAGAAACTCTATTACAGTTAATAAAAGTTGTCCTTGGTTTGTTGAAACTCCAAAAATTTATTGCCGTTCATGTAATTGGTATGCCGAACAAGAGAGGATAATACCATTTGACGAGCGTCTAAAAATGCCATTAGGAGATTATAGTTTAAAGCAAACAGACGAATGGATCGTAATTTCAAGACTAGAACATGTCCGAGAGCTACTCGTTTTTCCTACGAAACATAAGACAAATAAAGATCTAATCAAATCAGAAGAATTTTGGGCGTGGGTATTAGACAATTTAGTGAAAAACTTTCTAGGTGCTTTTTGTTCCAGAGGATATCCATTGAATTCTTTTGCAATGAACTTTGGGACTTGGGAATCGGAACTCGCCAAGGACAAAAATGCAGTAGATTGTCACGGACACTTGCACCTATGTCTCAAGCTTGATGTTGTCAGAAAAATGGAGTACAAATATCTAGGTATACGTGGTAAAGTTAATGATCCATATCATTATGGCTTATTGGACTGTAAAGAATTGGAGACATCTCGATTAATTAGTTTGGAAATATCGGAGATTAAGGCGGGAATTAAAGAAATTAATTCTAAGTTGGATAAAATTTTAACACATCTCAATCTCAATAAATGAACTACGGGGTTTATTAGTGAGTTTCAATTAGTTATTAAGAAGTTAATAATGTTTTATTTCTGCTGAATAAAAAACTGTTAGTATTTGCCGAAACCAAAATTTTCACACGTGTTATATTTCAATTGAAACCATTTTCTTTATTATTTTTTTTTCGTAACACAAATAGTTGATCAACCATAATACAATACTTATTTGCTAGATCACGTGGGGGACATACACCACTAACGCTTAGGACAATTACAACATCGCTCCTGCCAAAATAAACTCTACATGTGTTTTCTCTTATGATTGTTCTCTTCTTGACCAAAATCTAACTTTGCAATCCCATCGTTCCTATGCAATTTCATATAAAAATGTCCTAACAAAACTTATTAAATCAAATTGAGTTTGATATCTTAAAGGCTGCTGTTTTTTATAACTTTCAAAACATATCTGCATCACAATCTAGGCCAACATGAAGGGTTGATGCTCATCGTTCTTGTACCATATCTAAATCTCTCATAATATTATATATGCGTAAATCCCTATGAAGATTCCAGTTTGGTGTACTTCTTTAAGAGTTAAAATAACATTCTTGATATCAGTCTTCCGCCAATGATTGATTTTCTCACAAACTGGTGTTATGACGATACGATGTCAAGTGACAGTAGGTGATTTTTACATTTCAGATCGGTAAATGACTTCAACGCAGTAATTTCTTGATTAAAGATGATGTTTATAATCTTGCTTAAATACCTTTACAGCAACAGGCTCATCATTGTAAAGTCCTTCATATACAACTCCAGTTCTTCTAACTCCAAGATACCGTTCTAAACGGATTCAAACGTCATCAATTTTTAATTCTGATTCAAGCCATCCCAATTCTGAAGGTATTTGGCAAAGAAACGAGACTAACCGTTGCCAAAGAGGAGGTTCTTCAATCTCAAAATAAAGGGATTCACTTGTGGTATAAGTATAAATAAAATGCAAATTATTCTCTTTCTGGCGTTTCACCTTAAAGAATTGTATATTATAATAGTCTGTCAAGATCGCATAAACAAATCTTCGACGATGTTGTATCTCTAGTACTTTGTTTGCAAATGCTATTGTTTGGTCAACCTTATTATTACTGAATCCTGCATTATTTGTATATTTAGTAATTTCCATCACAAAAAAAAAAACGTTAGTGGATCAATGGCACGGTATATAGCAATTCCAACACAGTCTGGTTTTCTTGTGGAAATCGAGATGTATCATGAACATTAATCATTGAACGCTTCTACTAGCGAAAATCAATTTGATTCCCATACTGTTTAACTTGTTTTCTGATATCAGTGTTACTAAAAAAAAATAAAATGCTTTTAGCAAACAAAATTCAATAAGGAAAGAATAACAATTAAATTTACTTGAGAATGGGTTTTCTGGCGAGAACCTCGCTCGTTTCATATATCGTTCCAAAGCATTCATTGTTATCTCAGTAAAATCCCGCTTAAAGATCTTTTTAACGCTCTCTCGTCAACTCCCCCTAAAACTACAATAAAGAGATATTGCAAACAGAATATAATTCATAAATATACAAATATTAATTAAGATTAACATAATAAAATGTATTTTTTTTTTGTTCATTTCTCAAATAACAATTTTTAAAAAGTAAAGAGCTGTTCAGTCAAAGCATCCCTGTATTTTAACAAATTAAACCTTTATCCTTCTAAATATTTCATATGCAATTTCTTTCCTTCTTCATTTTCCAATTTCAAATAATTCTTGCTTCTCAATTATCTAACTTTTTCCAATTGATTTTTCAACATTATCCAATCTCTTCTTCGTATCATACAATTTACTTTCATAAGTCAAATTAGAATTTTTATTTTTTTTTCTTGTCAAAAAAATTTTTTCTATAAATAGGTGGTAAAAAACAATATCCCAGAAATGACAAAATGTCAACAGCAGCTTTTCAAACCGAAACCTTACCACTTGACGCAAGTCTGTTTGAAGGTGGTGGACAAGGTAATTAATTTAATTGTAAAGAACAAGTTGTCCTTGTAAAGTTTATATTTGAATACTTATTGAATATATTTTCAGTTATTCGAATTTGTATTGGTTTAAGGTAATAATTGTAATGAACACCTATTATATGTATAATGTTTAAATTTTTTATTTATTTTATTTTATTTTAGCTGTCTATTACATAAACCGATAAAATTATTAAATGTTAGAGCTAAACGCGAAGATCCCGGTTAGTATTGAAATATTGACCGTTAAATGGTGTGTTATTAAACCCTATATTACCGATAATTAGGTTTAAAACCCCAACATGTTTCTGGACTTAAACTCGTGCAAAATATTTTTCAAGCGGATTTACAGGGAGGAATTGCAAGTATCAAAATCTCTACGTGAATTCTTGTATGATAATCAATCAATCATCCTTTTCATATTTTAGATAGGATCTAAAGAAATTTACTTTAAACCAAATGAAGTGAATAATAGTATTAATACTTTCATTGCTGATACTCAAACTGCGGGGTAATTAGATTGATCTCTTTATATTTAAATTTGATTATATTTAAATTAATTTCAAATTTGTATGTAATATTTTAGGAGTATTACTTTATTGATTCAAATTTCTCTACCGCCCTTGTTATTTTCAGCCCCACCGCCAAAGTCAAAATTATTTCTTCCGCCAAGATCTAAAAAAGTTATTTTGAAAGGCGGTTCAGCTGTTAATGCTGCTCCACCAATTGATTTTTTAACAGAAGTAAATTTTTTTTTTTTTTAATACTTATAAATCGTGTAAACTAGATTATTAAATATTAATTGATATTCAAATCCTAAAGATTTTCAAACCTATAGTAGAACGCGAATTTGGATTGAATTTTGATGTTAGCATAATAAGAAGGGGGTATGGTTGATTTTGTTTTATCATTAACATTATTGATTCAATCAAATAAAATTTAACAAAAAATTTATATTTACAGATATTATCCTAGAGGTGGAGGAGAAGTTGAGTTACGAGTTGATCCAATTGTTGAAAAATCTCTAAAACCATCAAATTTAGTGGAGCGAGGAAAAATCGTTAAAGTCAGAGGGTAATGATATATTATCATGGTGTTATTTTTATTTCTTTCTAACTTTCATTTATATTAATTTATAAGACGCGTCAACATTTCAAATATGTCTAACAAGGTATTTTGTTTTATTTTTATTATTATTATTATTATTTTTGTTTCAATGACATTTTGCATAAATGATTTAAATGATTATTATTAGTTTGGAAAGCAGATAGTTGAAAGCGCGTCTAAAATATTAACAGAAGCAGCTTTATTTGAACTCGAAAGTATTCAATTCGATATAGAAATTAATACTGAAAGATATAATACTTGTAAAGGTTCTGATATTTTGTAAGATAAAAAAGATTAACCCTTTCTGGGCTTTATTATATTTAACATGTTGGATGATTTATTAACGCATGTTATTTCGTTTATCTTAGATTATGGGCAGAAACAAGTTCTGGATGCTTAATTAGTGGACACGCTCTAAGTGATAAAAGTATAGATCACGATGATCAATTTTAAAAATAGCGAGAGAAAAATCTTCACTAAGATAATCTTTAATATATTAGAACTATCACCTGAAGAAATAGGGCGACGCGCAGCAGAGGAATTGATACGAAATATTAAACATGGAGGATGCGTTGATGAGTAAGTTGGTCAAAGTTGATGTATGTGTTATAAAGGGTAAAATACTTAAATACTATTTTATATAATTAGATATCTACAAGATCAACTAATAATGTTCATGGCATTAGCTGAAGGCAAATCAAATTTAGTTTCTGGTCCTATAACTTCGCATACTCGTGCAGCTATTCATTTTGTTGAAGTTATGTCGGGTGTGAAATTTTGTATTAAAAAACTTGATTCTTTTGATTCAAATGTACAAGATGATAAATCAGAAGATGGTAATTTATATTTGATTGAATGTGAAGGTATTGGATTAAAGATCTCAAAACAATTATAAATCATTTTAATGAAGGACTATAACTGCGAGAGAAATCTAAAGTTTAAAATGATTCGTCGAGTTTTTTTGTAATCCACCAAAATTAATATATTTAATATTGATGAATTCCTCGATACCGTATTTGGAACCTATTATATTAAATTGAGAGAATGTAAAAGTTAACAATTGAATACATTGTTGAACTCATAAATATGACTGACAGACAATTCACGCGAAAATTTCTAACCTTCACGACCTATTCCTGATTCTTTAATCTGTATTATTATCAAAACATGAATGACAAGAAATTAGAGAGAAAATTTTAATTAATATTAAAAAAAAAAAAAAAAGCAAAATGGTTTTACTTACACCACCAAATGGAGCTTCGCAAGTACCGATAATTGCGGTATTTACAGCAACCATACCAACTTCTAGAGCATCGGCCACACGCCAACATCTTCCAATATCTTTGCTATAAAAATATCCCGCCAAACCAGAATTACTATCATTGGCCAGATTAATGACTTCCGATTCTGTTTCAAATTTATATAATGCAGCCACGGGACCGAAAGTTTCCTCAGAGGTAATGACCATTTCTTTATTCATGCCGGTAAGAACTGTAGGATAAAAGAAGTTTCCTGTATGTTTTGTACCTCCTACGAGGATTTCAGCACCTTTTGCCACAGCATCTTCAACATGTCTTGTTACCTTCTTTATCGCATTTTGATTGATTAAAGGACCATGAGTTGTGTTTGTATCAAATCCATTTCCTAGTTTGAATCCACTAACTTTATCCGCCAGTCTAGATGCAAATTCAGCATAAATTGAAGATTGTACGTAAATACGATTTGGAGAAATGCATGTTTGACCAGATGAACGGAATTTGCAATTAATTGCACCTGAAAATAAGATTAATTACATTTACATGTCAAAAGCTTGTATATCAAAAAATCGTGATGTTAATTAGCAAACCAAACCTTCAACAGCTGAATCTATATCAGCATCATCAAATACGATAAATGGTGCGTTCCCTCCTAATTCCAAAGAAACTTTCTTTAATGTACTAGAACATTGTTCCATCAAAAGTTTACCGACTGCTGTCTAATGAAAAATGAAAGAAATAAAAAGTATTTAATCAAAAAATATTCGAATTAAAATAAAAAAACTTTTTATTTTGAAAAACATCAATTATATTAATTAATACCGAGCCAGTAAAGGAAATCTTTTTCACCACTGGATTGGTACAAATTTCTAACCCGATTTCTTTAACGTATTTATCAGTTGTCACGACATTAATAACCCCTTTCGGAAATCCCGCTCTTATGGCCAATTCAGCAAAAGCTAAAGCTGAATATGGTGTTTCTGCTCCAGGTTTTATCACAACGGTGCATCCAGCCGCTAACGCGGCGCTTACTTTACGCGTAATCATGGCATTTGGAAAATTCCAAGGAGTAATTATTCCAACAACTCCAATTGGTTGCTTTTCTACCACAAATTTATGATTTTTTAAACTTGATGGTATTATATCACCATAAACGCGCCTAGATTCTTGTGCAAACCATTCAACAAAACTTGCCCCATATCTGATTTCATTTAAAGCTTCAGCGTATATTTTACCATTCTCAAGAGTAAGGATAGAGGCGAGATCGTTTTGATTTTCCAAGATTTGGGAATGTAATTTTAAAAGGTAATCATGTCGATTCTAAATAGGAAAAAAAATCATGACATCATGACCATCAATGAATATAATGATGGTAGTAAGAAAGATTAGATAGAAACCTTTGGGGTTAAATTCGCCCATTCATTAAAAGCTTTGCTTGCTATCATGATAGCTTCTTTGGTATCTTCGACGTTCATCTCGGGAACTTTACCAATTTCATTCTCAGTTGCGGGATCTTACACAATAACGAATAAATTGATCTTAACAAATGATCTTATTAACAAAATTTAACAAAATTCCGAGATCCTACCTATCACCGAGAAAGTTTGTCCAGACTTTGCTTTTACCCATTCATTATTTATAAAAGCACTTTGACGTAACAACGAAGAGTCTTTGAGCTAGATAATATTTATATACACACACATTTATTTCTTTGATATTTATTTAAAATAGTAAAATATACATTAAAAGATTCTATAATATATCATGTATCTCTATTGAATTTATCAAAAAGCGAACCTTTGGTGATTGAATTTGGGTCGTAAAATTACGAGACATTTTTACAATAAGGTGTTGTGACTTTAAAAAGAACTTTAGGTTGTAAAGGTTATTATTATGTGTGTGAAAATTCTTCAAACTACGTGTGAATAAAGACATGACCTGCCTCAAAAAGAACAAAAAAAAATTCATCTAAAAATAGAAACGAACCTAGAAAAATTTTGATCCATTTATCGTCCAATAATATTTTGAAAAAACTAATAAGAATCCGATCTAATAATGATCTAATAATTTTGATTTACGATATTAAAAAATATTAAAAATAGTAAACATTAGATAAAATTAGAATTACGTATTTGATTATATTTATTTTTAAACGTTAATTATTTTTAAAAATGGTAATCAACAAGTTAATGTAAATCGGAAGAAAAAGAATTAATTAAAACATCGAATAAAGAATCTTATTGTTTCATGAAAAAAAAAAAAAAAATAATTTTATTAAAATAATTTTTTCTAAAATAAAAAAATAAAATTTTTATGCAAATAATAACAATCACAAATGTACCCCGCTGTTGTGAACCTGATTTTCAATTTTTTTTTATTTGAAAGATCTTTCCGTCTGCAGTTCGAAAACAACAGTCAAACAATCAAATAAATATTGGTCGGATGTTATATACAAAAATGGGGGGAACATTTTAAAAATCTGATAAACCTGAAATCATAAAAGGTTCTTTATATATCCGGTTATTCCATTGTTTTCCATGAGGATTTTTGTTTTTCCAAATTGAAAGTATGAATATATTTTTTTTTTTCCAATAAAGGAAAAAGCGTGTCATTCAGCTGAGATCAATTTCTAAAACTCAACAAAGGAACCTTTATTAAAATTTTCGAAATTTCTGAAATTTTCAATTTTGAGATGCATTGATAATTATGCTTATAACCTTGGAGTCCAATTAAAATTCAAGTTAAAAAATCCAATTAGTAGTACGAAAAAAATTACGTGAAACAATTTGATTAGCATTTTCACCATTTTTGATCTATTAAACTGATGATCTTATTAATTTATATTAAAAAAAAAACATTGTAAAAGGATCTACCTACTATGAGAAAATTTATATTCCATTATAACAGAATTGGAAACGCGTGACAGGAAAAAGATTGGTGTAATTAAGTCATACGTCCTTTTTCTTTTTAAAATCATAACAAAATGGTTCAGATCCCCAGAGCAGAAACTATTGTCGTACTTGATGCTTACCTCTTTTGGTTTGGTACCGAATGCCATCACCCCTGCCCGCATACATTCGATAGTTAACTTTCATTCAGCCCTGTCCATCTTTTATAATTTTTTCCCATACAAAGCTTTCACAAAAGTTTCCATATTTTTCTTAAAAAAAAAATATCAAACTTAAACTTTCTATTAACGCCGTGTGTTGTGTTTTCTTTTTATCTTCTTCGGTTGTCGCGCTGAAAATCTCAAAAACACAAGAGCACAAGTTCTCCGTGTGCTTGAGTTGCTTCTTTCACTCCACACTTATACTTACAACGTTGTGGTTCTTTAAAAACAAATAAATTAGTCTTCTCATTACAAGAAAAACCCAACCTTTTCTTAGTCTTGAATTTCATTCATTATTTTCTTTTGTCATCCCTTTGACTGAAAGCTCGATAGACCCACACGAGCTCTCAAAGATTTTCATTTGAAAGACCAATATCCGCCTTCTTTGCGGTTTGTCCTATTCTCGCAAGCGTTACATTATTCACTTCAAAACTATGGGTAAAGTAACCGTTGGTGGACATTGGTTAGTCGAAGAAAAAATCGGCGAGGGATCTTTCGGCGAGGTCTTTCGAGGTAATGTACTTTTTATTATGATTATTACTCAAATTTGCGCAAAAAAAAAAAAAAGCAACGTTTGAAATGGCCGAGAAACTTTTTTTTCGTTTGAGCGAATATATATTCCATTTCACGTGACTCATTAACGAAATCTTTCTAAACATTCTATTTTTTTTTTTTTTTTTCTACTATATATAGCCGTTCACATAAAAACAAATGAGCAATATGCTATTAAACGAGAGCTTATAGACGAAGAGCATCCACAATTGCCACAGGAAGCCGAATTTTTAAGAAGATTAGCAGGCCCAAGTAAGATAAATTCATTTTTTTTCTTAATTATTTTTTTTTTTTTAAAAAAAGAAATTTATTTACTTACATTTATTTGATTTGATTAAACATCAAGGTTTCATACCGAAATTATATTGGTTCGGGCAGGAGCAATTATATAATGCGTTAGTCATGGATTTGCTTGGTCCCAACATCAGATTGGTACGCCAGGCATATGGTAAGCTACCAGTCCCTTTTGTTAGCAAAATAGCTGTACAGATGGTAAGTTAATTATATAAATTATTAGATTTAAGTGGAGTGACATCAAGGTGTTTATTAAATCGTCATTGATTATCTCCTGATATTAGGTGGATATCTTGGAACACGTACATAGTCGAGGAATAGTATATCGAGATGTAAAACCTGATAATTTCCTTCTCGAACGGGATTTCGCAATTTCAATAAAGGAGCTCGAGAAATGGAACTCTGAAAAGGATTCGCCCAAGCTAATTGATGACAAACATCCCCTTCTTTATAGTCCACACAAGATAAGCCTTGTTGATTTTGGTATGTATAGTCTTTAGCAATGCAATAAACTACTCTCTTTCTAATTTCATTCTAATTTTTTTATTTTATTTCATTTTTTTTTTTTTTTTTTTTTTTTTTAGGTTTATCCACGTTCTATATCGACCAGAGGACAGGGAGGCACGTTCCAAAGAAGCATCCCCCGACAAAATATAAGACGGGGACTGCTCGTTATGCCGCAATGGGTGTTCATCGTGGGCTTCGTAAGTGTTTTGAGAATTTGATTGTGGAATTCAATCAATTATATCAATTCTTATTTTTTTTTTTTTTTTTGGTTAATAATAGCACATGCGCGTCGCGACGACTTGGAATCACTTGGATATGTTATTCTGGAATTGCTTCAAGGAACACTTCCTTGGGCGGGTGTAACAGCCCGCAATGCGGTAGAAGGCTGGTCCAAGATGTTAAAGATGAAAGAGAGCAAACCTTTGGAAGAGTTATTTGAGGGTGTTCCGTCAGGATTCATGAAATTTCTTCAATATGCACGAAGTCTGGACTTTGATCAGAAACCGGATTACGCATTTGCACGTAATTTACTTGTGTATGTATTTAACTAATCTTACATATCAGATATATCAAATTTTTTTTCCTCCCTAATAATTTCGATTCAACTAAATTTCAGTGCAACTTGCCGGAACGGATACGATTCTGAACTAGTAACTCTTGAATTCGAAGATTATTCATTGGCTCGTCCAATGTCCCCAGCTCCTTTGACTCCTGCAAATGAATTGAGCTTTTGGAGTGACAACGCGTTTCGGGATTTTGATGGGGGCTACCATTCTGATGAATGGATTAATCATAACGACGACAGTGCGGTAAAGGCAGTGGGTGATGGAAATGTAAAGGTTCCTTGGTTGGAAGATAGTTATCCAACAAGAAATTGCCATCCTCGTTATAATGATGAACATTACAACCAAGATGTAATTCGTACTCGGTCATTAAACACAAAACAAGGTCGCGAATGGCGGGATTTACAAAGTAGGCGTCCATCGATTCCTTCTCCGTTATCCATATCTATTCCACCAACACGTAATTCGGCAATGAATACTTCTCGTGGGGTGACATCTCCCAATTATAAATTTGAGCATATGCAACATTATTCGGGCGTCGATGAAAATATACCATTAGGACCAAGACGAAGCATACCCAACATTCGGAACACAAACACCCTGGCAACGAAGTTCCTCAAGCGTAGTGTTCCTAACCTTCGCGAGCAAGCTCATTATAACACTGTCCCTCAACCGTCATCGACAATCAAGAGGACCATGGCACATATGCAAGATACACAACCAACAGCAACTACAATTCAAGGTAGAAAAGGAACTCTTAATAACAACTCCTCCTCCCCCCCTCGTTGTTATTCGTTTAAGGATAATACGCATAATTCAGCCAGTCAGCCTCGAGAAGAAATTAGTAATACGACGAATGGTAGTTCGCCTCAAAATGTTAGATTTTCCCCTCAAGACGCTCGCTTCTCTCTTCAAGACGGTAGGTACTCTCCTCAAGATGCCAGATTTTCAAGTCGTGAAAATTTCCGAGGTCGTGAGCGTGCCAGCACTTTTAGTCAATTCAGTAATGTGCAAAAGCAAGATAGTCGATATCCTCCAATATCTACTTCACCTGTTACACCATCTCGTCAAGGTAGCAAGTCGTATAAAGAACGTGAACGATCACATACATTCACTAGTGGACATAATCCGCCCGTCAGCCCAAGCATACAGAATATTTCACCAAATGGGCCGAATTCTTTTCAATCTAATGCTAATAATTGGTCAAATGGAAAACGAGAACGGTCAAATACCTTCACTAACGGTGGAAAATCTAAAGAATATAATTATGGTGGCAAAAATGGCTGTTATGAACGTCGAAATTATATGAATGGACCTCCACAAAACCATTCGCAGCAAAACTCGGGATATAATAGAAGTGGCGCATCTAGTAATGTACAAAAATCCCAGACTAATAATCGGCAAAATCAACAAGAGGAAGAGAATTATCCTCCACGTTCAACCTCTACAACTCCAACATATGGTCATCGACGTTCAAATTCACATGAGAAAGTTGAGCAAAGGAAAGTGTCTTCTGAAATCAATAATGAACCGAAGGTGCCCTCGACAAATGAACCTTTTTTCGATTCTATTGATCAAAAGGTTTCAAATGACAAGATAATTCCAAGAGGTTCAAATAGCTTAGATAAAGATTTGCAAACTCCAAATGGAACGAGAATCGAGGATGACAAGATTGCTTTAAACGACACAGCTGTAAATAAGCCGGTGAATCACCAACAAAATCATCACGTGACATTTTCAACGGATCTCGAAGACAATTATTCTTATTATCCTAATAGGCCCTCAAATGGTTATCGCAGGCAAAGTTTTTC